ATACTATAATTTGACCAATATGCTATTTAATTTTACAGTCACCTTAATCAGGTGCCTTAGCATAAGATTTAAACAATAATCATAGCCTGGCACCATTCCTCCACCCAATGATAAATGCACTTAATTGTTCATTTTAAAGAGTTATGAAATCCTAGAGGGGGAAAAACCCCACACCTATATTTATTACAACGGCTATTTTCACTGTTCTAAAGAAACTTTTATAGATTACAATTACTATTTCATGTGTTTGGTTCTTCACCTTCAGAAGTACAGACTCTAAGATGAAGAATAAAGATTTCATTACAAATTATTTAGAAAAATCCCACCTTTGTTGAGTTCTGGTATTTGAAGACATAACCACTAAGCGTAGCATGCCTATTATACTTTTTCTGCTAATGTTACATTGAATACAATCTATAAATTTAAGATTTCCTACTTGAAATACTGCATGGATTCACAAAACAAGACATTTCATTTTATAATAAATACTCCAGGCTATTTTAATGTTATATTTCTAATATATGTGCATGATTTTGAATTATACTATTTTGAAACTGCTGCCTATTTAATAAAAATACACCAAAAATTATTCATTATTTCACTCCAACAATAACCTAAGAGGACTCTCAAAAAACATGGCTTCAAAATTAAATTCCTTCTATGCAATTATTCCCCTAATTCTCTCTGGCCATTGATAAGAGACATTCTTGAATTCCATTAAAATTATTTTTGTATGTGTGTTTGTGGGTAAATTAGAAAGTGATGATTTTTTGCCTTTTCTTTTTTTAGCAAATGTTCCAGGAATTTATTTAAGCTTCTTACAAGTTATTTGATCTGTTATACCATCTGTTCCAGAAGATATTTTAAACTGAGGGCAAGAAAAACATTTAGAGCAAAACAGGCATACATAGAGATTGCCACAGAGGATTCAATATTTTATTTTCAAATGAGTACAAGTGATGATTGCCATATTCAGAATTGAGAGTGGAGAGAGGAACCTGAGATATCCTCTGTCCTCAGAGTTATTTAAAACTTTGTTCTGAAGTTTACCACAATGCTTTACTACATAGCAGATGAAATTGTTGTCCTTTCTACCCCTTGTGGCCTTTAAGGCAAGGGGTTTTCAAAGTTGGCAACCTTAAGATTTCTGGACATTAACTCCCAGAAGTTAAAGAACCAGGAATCCTGAAAACATTGTTTAACAGGTATTTTTCTGTTTTATCCAACCATGACATAGTTGTGATTTCTAAGAAGAAGCAGGATTCATTGGGAAGCTACCACAGATAGAAAAACAAATTATGACCAAATATTAATGTTGTCATAAAATTCAGTGCTAATCATTGCCAGAAATAGCAGCTCAAGGGAGTGAAAGGAACATGTCTGGCACCTTAGCAGGATAAAACTGTATCTATTATTTTAATGAGTTTTTATTTTTAAACACAGACTGAACTTTAAATATAGATATTGACATTCATGGAGTACCATAATTAATTGGAAGTCATACAAAGCACGAAGTATATACATCCTTCTGAGAGCTGGAGGAGTAGTTCACATTATGAGGCTTACAGGATGCAGCCCCAGATACAAAATGTTTACTGAATTTGTGAATGTGTGAAAACCAATCTCTCTGTGCAGGGCCTGTAGATAACAAACACATGTTCTCTTCTCCCTTCTTTAGAACTACTACAAAGGTAGAAATTTCAGGACTTAAAATCATAATTTTCCCAGCTAACTACTTCTAACAAAATAGAACTCTGTGCATGAAGTAGAAAAGCATAAAGCATTATCAACTTAACAATGTCCCAACATTAATGGGAAGGAAAAATCTTGCTTTAAAGAGACATTGAAACTCAAAGGATTAGAAGAAATAAATATAAGTATTGTAGATAGATATTTGTGCTGCTTAAACTTTTGATTTGATTGTATTGCCTCATGCTGTGAAGTCTATAATAATTTGACGTGGCCAACTTGCAGAGGTGGATTCCTACCTCTTCAGACCGGTTCAGCCGAGTAGGTAGTAACTCAGCATGCCACACCCTCAAACTGGTTATATCAGCGGTGCCGTAGGCGCCAACATCTTGTTTTTTGCTTCTGCGCATGTGCTCATCACGCGCATCACATGCATCAAGCTCATGCACACCCGAAGTGCATCCCTGAGTGAACCAGCGGTAGCAGAAGCCAGAACCCACCCCTGCCAACTTGCCTTGGCTAACTCATTACAGCCAACTCACCATGGGAAAATTCACCATGGTCAACTCATCACAGGACAATTTGCTGTAGGATGAGAATTACAGTAAAACCAAAGAAACGGTGGAATAGAATCATTAAAGAGAGAGACAGAATGAAATGTGAATGATAAAAATTAAAATATTTTTAGTTTTTTAAAAAATAATTAAAGTTGGCCATGGCAAGTTCTCATGCAGTGAGTTGCTGTAGTGAGTTGGCCATGGCAAGTTGGCCATAGCAAGTTGGCTGCAGTCCCATTCTGTGTACTGTATTGTCTCAACATAAGAAAGGTGAGTAAGAGAGCAAAACTGTTCCTTAGTTCTGGAGCTGAACATTTTCATTAAAGGTTTTCAATTATTTAAAAGGAAATGAGAACTTATACATGAAGTTATATGCACTAAGTGCTGATGGAAGTAGAAGCTATGTTGCATGAAAAAAATAAGACTAAAGATTATCTGCACGTTTCTTTTCTTACCCAGTGGGACACATGCATCCAGAAAAACAAGGAAGTTGTGCAGACATAGTAATATTTAGCAGTTGATTTTCACAGGTTCTCTCCCTGCCAAGTTCCATAATTGGTGAATTGCTACAATTAACATAGATTTGCTCTTCAGGGCAAACATGATCTAGAAAAATACAACATAGATAATGTCAGTCAATTTTCTATATTCTATAAATTTCTTCAATACAGAACCCTAGCAGTAACATATTTTAAAGGGATTGCATAACTTTATAGCGATGGAGTATATGGCTATTACCTGTTACTATCACTAACATATTTCTCACGAAAATCATAAACTGGTTTGGTTACAATAGTACTTTCATAAATTATTCCTGGTCCAGTCTTCTTGCATATAGATCACACACAAGTATGCTACAAGCCTAAGGTTTGGGGAAAAGTGATCTGGGTTAAATTTGTTTTTGTTTACTTTACATACCAGTGTTGTCTTCACAGTTCATCATCCCATTTCTGCAGTGGCTATGGAAAAATGGCGATAAATAAATAAAAGCAAAAACATTTTTTTTTAAAGTTGGAAACTAACCCTATGTCTCTTGGAACAAACAAAAAATCAAGTTGTTTTTACAAATAACTTTTAGAACTGTTCTTGTGCTAGAAACTATAGATTACACTAGACATTTTTTAAAAGTTGGTGATTATGATAGGCACTTAAAACTGAACACAAATATAGTTTGCATAATTACTGTATCATGTAGGAATCTTGAGAAATATGAAATTCGCTTTTAATGACTAAAGTGTATTTAATCATATGTTTTCAACACAATGTTTGAGTTCAACAAGATCAAAAGGGTTTTTCTCCTGATTTTCATTTGTACTCAGTGTCTGATAAATCTTATTGTAGTGACACCCAGAGTCATTTGGTTGAGTTGGGCAGTCATGGAAACTTAATTAATTAATTAATTGATTGATTGATTAAAATAAATAGAAAATAAATAGAAAATAAATAGAAAATAAATAGAAAATAAATAGAAAATAAATAGAAAATAAATAAAAATAAAAATAAATAAAATAAAATAATAAATAAAATAAATAAAATAAATAAAATAAATAAAATAAATAAAATAAATAAAATAAATAAAATNACAACCCCCGGTATACCCAAATATGGGAGGAAGATTACTACTTCCATTCTCTGTCCTTCGGCTTGTCACAAGATATATATATATATTTAATTCAGCCATTTGAAAATAATTCTTTTTAGGGTTATTTTATCTAGACTATGAAACTGAAGAAGACCACTAGATGCTAGCAATGAATCAGAAATAGGGATATGTCTTTGCTGCCATCTTGTTAAGGGTAGCTGTCTGGATTTTTCCAGCCATATGCAGCATATGCTTTGCCTATTCCTTCTTCCATAATTCTGTCACAAAGAAGAAGGAGGAATTCAATGAGATGAAGGATTGCAGCAATTATTGGAGAAGCAACCAAGATGTCCAGAGACAAGTTCCAAGATATACTGTTTTGTTGAATTGGTGGCTATATATGTCTGCTCAAATGTATACATTCTTTGTTTTTTCCTCTCATTTGATTCACGTCGCCTGCTATTTGGTCATTCTCTTCCTCCTGGAGATTGGGAAGCTTCTGCTTGATGTTTTATATCATGGTTTGGTTTAGCCTGAGAATTACTTATTTCACCTAGATTTTTATTTATTTACTAACCAATAACCCAATGCTGCCCGGGGAATTTATTTATCCTAACTCTGTATTAGGTTGGAGCCCCCTTGTGGAGTACTGTGAAGCTGTTACCATGGCAACAAAAGGCTGTATCCTAACACTATCACACTAATGCACACTATCACTGTCAAAAGTACTATGATTTGACACTATAGATATAATTTGTTCCTTTTCGTTTCAGCGGCCCAGGCGTTCCAGGGTTATGCTGGAACACACACAGATACATACACTGAGGGATGTTAGAGGTGTATTACCCGCACAGTATTTGTTTCCCAAGAGGAAGCCATCTGTGTACCAAATTTGGTTGAAATTGCACACACACACACACGCGCACACACACACACACACACACACATATATATTGACTAATACATATTATTACCAAATACAATTGCATTTAATGCAGTATATCCATATATGAATAGTTCCAAGTATAATAATTAACATTTGAATAAAACAAACTTATTTTCACTATGAGTAATTAAACTAAATTATTTTCCTATTCTGTTTATGTTTCTTTTTAACTGCAGAGCACAATACTTAGTTTAAAAACTGAACATGCTTTAAAATAAAGTCTTACCTTAACCAGGTAAACCTTACAGTTTCCAACATAATCAAAAGACAGGCCATCAAAGGTTCTATAATGGCGATCTCCATATGTAGTACACATTGATGGGCATGGATGGAAATTGCATTTAAATGAGCCATGACTGCAGATGCTAAAACAGGGCAAATTTATAACAATTACAGCAAATATAAACCATAATCTCTATATATGATCTTTAACAAAATAGCATGACTCTGTTAAAAGTAAGTTCCTACAAATTATTCACATGTCCATTGATTCAGAACTTGTACAAAGTTGTTGTACATGCAGATAAGCTGATATTTATTTGAATAGAAAAGATCTATGTAGGTAAAGGAATTCATTTTCAGAATTCCTTACAAATAAATTATCTGTATTCTTATGCTCATAACAGGCTGCACACTTTAACATACTGCTGTCATTTCATTAGTTTGATTAAACGTGTATCTTATATGAGGAACTAAAAATTTTAAGTAAAAATTATTATAATGTACAAACTGATTTTATTAGGCAACTAGCATGTTACTAGCCAATCTAACTCAACTTCTTTTATGTAGCATATGCTATCAGCAATAATTTTAATTCAGATTCTTATTTTAAGGTATTTTAATGGCAAGGAAGTAGAGGTCAAAGAACAAGGCCAAACTGATTAATTCACATAGTTAAATCAGCAATCTTTTATTTTAGCCTTTTCTTCAATTAATTTTCAATGTATTGATTTGTGGCATGCATTTTTCCTCTGAACGTACAGCTTGCTAAGAGACCTATCTTTTCCCATTTGATATTATTAGATTAGGAAACATGAGCTTTTCATGCATTATTATTGTTTCCATGTCTCATGTCAAAAAGGAACTGATTTTAACCATAAACCAAATATAGAAAAGCATAAAATAACAAACTGTATGAATGTTACAAAATCCATGTCTTTTTGTCTTTAGTTGGTTATTTTCTTTCAATTTTTTTTATTGTTCAAACATTGAGCTGAATCCTGCAGCAAATGAGCAGAAGTCCCACGTATGTTGACTATTACTTCGTCTCAACCCTGCAGCCTCCATTGTATCCCAAACCTCTGCCTCAAATGATTGGGGGTTCTTCAGAATAGACTCTGCCATGGAATAGGGGGCAATAGGAAAGGTACCAGTGCTGTCCCTCCTCAGTGGATGAGGGAAGCCACTTCCACTAACACAAATCTGCCATTGAATTCCATACACTGTGTCTAATGATCATATAGTTTGTACAAAACAGCAAAGTGGGATGCTTTTAAAAGCAGACCTGGCATATTTCAAAGCAGTCAACATAGCATCTTCCTATATGTGTGCTTCTGTTCTCAATATTATTTATATAAGACAAAATGTGTCTACCATCACGTGTAACACTCAGTGTAATCTGTGTTACAATTGACCATTCAATCCTAGGCCTGAATAATAGGTATGTTATGTTGTGTTGTGTTGTGTTATTTTATTTATAAACTGCCCATCTCATCGAGAGGTGACTCTAAAATGTAAAAACAATAATCATACAAGATAACTTTTTATCAAACTTTTTGAAAATCCCATAAAACTGGCTGACATTTAATTCAGATGGAAGACCTAAAGTTAATTTCCTAACCATTTGTGGAGGGAATTTATACTGCGATAAGAATCCATTTCTTAACAAGAGGATAAGAGGGTATACCAGCAATTTACCTATTCTTTTTCATTGCATGTTAAGAATTATGCTTAGATTTCTCAACAAATGTATTTTCTTTTTTAAGCTGAAAAGAGTGGCCGACTACTATATTTTCAGAACTGCCACCAGCCCTTTGAAATAAGGTTCTTGAAGGCTTTTCTTTTTCTCTGTGTTTGTATGCCAATCATCAATGATAGCTAAATCTGTATAGAAGTTTGGGAGCAAGGGAGCTGTCTACGGGGTCATTTACCTTCCTGCCAAGTGGAGATGGCTTATAAGTTGCTTCACCAGTCAGCCAAAAGGCTATAAATGTCTTCTAAACAGGTATTGAGGACCTGACAATAGGTGGATGCAGTCAGTCAGCACAAGGCTGGAGTGAGCAAAGCATCCAGACAAGGCATGGATGAGTGCTGACTGAAAGGAAAGGCCTGGATTGTTTTTGCTTACCCAGCAGAATCAAAAGAATCAAACATGAATAGAAGTTTGATAGGAAAGTAAGGAGCTAACGGTTGAACTCAATGTGTTACTTCCTTTATATAATACATTCCTACCAATCCTGGTGATGGGATGCTATTTTACATATTTAAATAAGGTTCATAGGAAAAGCAGTTTTAAGCTCTTGTCTGATAAACCTAGATGAAACTGTTTATGAAAAGGAATGTTGAAAGATCTGGGTTCTTTTTAAAAAAATCTGTGAAAGTGCCAATGAAATTAAGAGTGAAATTATCATAATCAGTAAGTTCTTATATTCCTGAGCCAAAAAAAAAATCCCCTTTTGAATTCAGATTTGAAAAGGTAATGAGGATGTAACTGGAAAAAATTATTAGCCTCACATTTTGGGGAGACCTGAAGATAAATTACAATTTACATATTAATATATGAAAAAAGATTGTATAAATAAAAAAGGAACAAAATAGTCTTGGTAGGAAAGACTTTAAAAAGAGATGCCTTGGTGAGGAGACCATGTGTCTGACCCCTTATTTCTTTCCAAATAATTTTGGTGCCCTGCCGCCCAGTGGGATTTAAAGTTAAATTTGTAAAAAAGGATGACTCTGAATCATAATCCTAATAAAATATTTTAATAGTAGTCCCTTTGTATTCATTCTTTCCCAATCCATTTTGGAGCCATTGAAAGTTTATTTAAATATCTGTGTTAGTGCAAATGGAATTCAAGTCCATTAAGAAGAAAAAACAAATTCAAAAATATCATACTGGAAGGCATGTATAAAATGAATATTATGGAATACAGGAAATGATTTCTACTCACCAGGTATGGCAAGAAGAAATTACTTTGTCCCCAGGAAAATATTCTTTGCCTTTCCAGGTACATGGGCATTCATTTGGCTTGAAGCACATATCACCATACTTAAAAAGACTGTTGAAACAGCAGATAGACATTCATTGTCAGATATATTTTAATACAATCAGAGATAGATAGATGACAGACAGACAGANATAAAATAAATAAAATAAATAAAATAAATAAAATAAATAATAAATAAAATAAAAAAATAAAAAAATAAAAAATAAAAAATAAAAAAATAAAAAATAAAAATAAAAAATGAAAATAAAAAAATGAAAATAAATAAATGAAAATAAATAAATGAAAATAAATAAATGAAAATAAATAAATAAATATCCTGGTGAAAAAATTTACTATATTCATAACTGACTGCATCTAGTTTTTTGGGAAAGAAGTCCCAAGTGTGAATGCAGAAAATGAATCTTCAGTGACATGTTGCACTTCATGGTCTTGTATGTGATAAGAAGTTTGTCAATCAGCTAAATGTAGTTTGGTACTCTGTAGTTGCCAAGAAAATTCTCGATGACACCTTTGAATGCTTTCAAAATGATTTGTCTGGCCTCACTAACAGATCATTGAATCACTTGTCACTGACGATATATCAGTCTGTGGACCAACAAAAATGCCTTCCTTAATCTCGGCATCAATTATTTTTGGAAACCTCTGTCTAAAATAATGAAAACCTTTACTTTCCTTACTCATAACTTTCACAAATTTTTTCATCACTCCAAATTTTATGTAAAGCCAATACAAAAATAATTTTGCAAGATCAACAAGTAATTCATGTGCCACATTTTTCGGTTGTGGAACGAAATTCTTTTTAATATAATGTAACTATGCGACTCTCTTGCATGGTTGTCCCATTCACATATGTAACAACAGTACTTGGTATATCCAAGTTGCATTCCAAGAACCATTACTTTTAAAGCTCCACGGATATTCAAGTTGTACTTAGTGTACTGGATGTGCTTCAGCAACATTCCATGTTTTCGTATGTTTCTTTCAAATGTGTAGCACAGCCAATGAAAGGTTCCCTGGTGGCATCATGTAAAAATAGATTTCTATAAATGTATGTGATTAGCAGGCAAATATCTATAAGATATATCCAAAAGTGTTCAGGAAGCAAAATCTTTATTGTCCAATGTTTTGTGTTAGAATAGAAGGTAATGTTTAAACATAAAGTGGATATCCTGAATGAACAAGATTTCTGAAAAAAGATTTCTGATATTTGAATCATGGCAGCACAGTCAATAATAAAAGGAAGTTACAAAAAGTATTTGAAGCGGTAAAGATGGAAGTGGCTGGTTTGCAAAGATATCCTCTCTATCATCCTATCTCAGACTCCTGCTACTAATCATTGCTTCCACCTCATGATGAGAAATTGGGGCGGGGGGACAGAATCTTTGCCTTTGGCAACATGATGCCTCATGTAAATCCCTTCTTTCTTTAATAAAAAGAAAAATAAATCACAAAAAAAAAAGGTTTCTGAAGAAAATTCAGCATCCAACCATATCCTGAGGAGATGGCAGTTAAGAAATATGATAAATAAATAAATAAATGAATAAAACCAACCCAGTCAGTGGAAAATTAAGACATATGTAAACTTTGATTGGAAATATGAGAGTAACTTACCACTTTCCAAAAGACGTGATTATATTTTCTCCAGGGGAATAATCAATACCATGAAAATAGCAAGGGCATTCATTTCTATAGAAAATGAAAATAAGAACTGAATATTGATATACAATTTATATGGCTGGAAATATTAACTGTTATAAAGAAAACAAAGCATTCCAAGGAAGCATCGTGTATTGGAGTGCTTTCCTAGCAAGTAAATCCTAAGTACAGTCCAGTAAAATGGGTTACAGATATACAAATGATAGCACATAGGTATCGTATGTATTTTTATTTTTTTAATGCTATTTTTAAAAAAGAGTGCAAACACTGTTTTTCCTATAAGAAATTATAATAAAATTAGCTTTACGTATGCCAGATAAAAAGGATACAATCACCTTAGACTTAATCAAATCAAGTAAAGCTTAAATGCAGCATCCTGCTTGGAAAAATCAATCAATATGTTTGCTATTTTTCCTATCAGCAAAAATGATTTACTAGCTAATAAAAACCATGTTATGCCATCATAAAATAAATTATATTGGGAAACATTTCATTAGAATTCTAGAAAAGAGTTAAATATTATTATGGCCAAACTCTACTGATGCTGCTTGAAGTAGAAAGCAAGAAGAGTGAAGGACCAATCTCCAACTTGGCACAGTGCAGGGTATGGAATCATTACTGTCTCTTGTGCCCACCATTGCTTTCTGTCCAATAGAAATTTGTTTTTCAGGTCCATTTATGTGAAAGCTTGAAGATTTTTTCCACTAATCGCTTAGTTCTGAAAGCATGCAATTATAAAGAAATAATATCAACATAATTCAACCTACTGTGGCACACATCTGTCAGTTTTGATGTTTAGATACATTCCAGAAGGGCAGGTGCAGCCTTCGACACAGTCACCATCGCATGCCTCTGGCACGGAGAATGCTCGGCAGCTTCTACCACAGGTTGATACACAAGTACTGTATTCCTTTGTATCTTCACATGAAAGGGCTGCTCAAATGAGGAGAAGAAAACTTCTCATGTTACAAGCCAAATGCATGCACATTCACTGAACATAAGATGCTGTTACTAAATATTATGTAGGCTTATTCGGAAGTTAGATCCAGCAAATTTAGGTAAAGCCCAGGACTTTCGCATAAGAAACTATTTCATTAGCAATAAATTATGAACCAAGTTCTTCATGGCTTATTATATTCAACATTCAGTGTAGATTTGAATTATTTTTTTATTTTTTTTCCTCCTAGTTTTGGGGATGAGTCCTGAACACTTGTTTAGAATTTACAGGTTGATTTCTGCATAGTTCTCATGTCAAAATGGCAAGAAATCATGCATATATTTTCAGCAATTATGTCCAATAATTGTTTGACAAAAGAAGGGCAGGTTCAGATCTCAGAACAGCTGGATTCAGGAATGTTTCATGATGAAACATTTGGCCAAAGGTGGGTTTGACAGCCACTTGCAGCCCTGAGAACTTAGCTTTCCCAGTCCTGCCATCAAAAAAAGTCACTTCCAATGCAGAGGCTTTTTCACATTTTAGGAGCACTTGATAAAACATCTTGCATTTACACAAGTCCTGTATAACACATCCAATCACTTTACAGATGAAGGAAGCCTTCATCTTCCTTGCACTCCATGTTTTCCATACTGTCATATAATCAATGTAAAAAAGACAGGGGAAAGAAATATTTTAACTGCAAGAATTCATGGAAGAGTTCTAGCATAATTTTTTACTGATGCCCAAATTTGTATGTAAACAAGCAAAGAAATTATGTTCAGGTCAGAGGTGAGTTCCAAATCCCAGAGGTACAGGTTTGCTCGTGCTCATGCGTACACTTGCGCACGATGCTTCTGCACATGCGCAGAAGAGTCTGCGTAGATGGGCGGAGCCTCCTGCTGCTGCTACTACTGGTTCGCCCAAACCGGGACAAACTGGGAACAACCCACTTCTGCCTCAGATATTTCACCACTTCACAGGTTTTAACTTTGTCATGACATTCAGTCACGGTCCCAAGAACAGTTGTTAAATTTGAATATTGAAAAATAACTTACCACATTCTAGGACACTACTCCGGAAATCGATCTCCACTCCAAATCTGTGGCACAGGTGGGCATAATGGGAGAGAGCGGAACACATACAGATCTGCCCACATTTGCAGGTGTCTCTTCTACACTGTTCAAAATAGGGGAGAGGACTCAGATAGGTATAGCATGGGGCAAAGAGTTCTTTGGTAATGATGCTGCAAGCTTCTGTTGCATAAGCAGCTGTCAAAGTAATAAATAGAAATAACCAGGTTTTAGTGTGGGATCCTTTAATTTAAAAGCATTGCAAAGCCTCTTTCATCCTGGGGAACAAAAATGTCTGTTTCAGCTTCTCTGATAACCAACACCCTCACTGATGGAACTTGTGAATGTAAATTGTGCTGAATTTTTTCAAACACTTGAATTGCAATCACCATAAATATTTTCTCCTTCTGTTCTTTCTACTCCTTCTCCTTCTACTCATTCTTTATTTATAGTTAGAGCACTGTGGGGATAATACAGCACTAGACATATTGCAGAGATATAAGCTAGAGTAGCGCCATCAGATGATTATTTATAAGGAATGCTGAGAATTCTATTTGAGCAATAGCTAAAGAGCTGCAAGTTCCCCTTACATTAGGCTGACCTGCTTCAACAATTAATCACTGAATGGCTGAATTTACTGTTATTTCACATAAAAATACTAATACTATTGAAATGCAAATAGTATTACAAAAAATGTAACCTCTAAAGCTCTATTGTTTTTCAGGAGCTACAACAAGGACACATTTTACTCAGGTACCTACTTAATCAGTGCAAGGAGTTTTCTAATTATTATTTATATATACTTTTTAATGATTTTGGGCAATTTAAAATTCATTTATCTAGCTTAGCCATAGAAGGAAATAAACTATTCGAAGCCTGAATTACAACAAACGCTGAATGCAACAGAAATTAATCATAATTGTAATTGTAACTTTTAAAGAAATATCCATAGTGCTGCATAGAGTATCATAAGCAGAGCATTATAAACATTGTCATCTTGTTCTTATAAGGTTATTGTGTTAACATATATATTTGAGCAGAGGTTATCTTAGATATCTTATATTAGATATATTTGGGCCTGATATATCTTAGGGACATGGTGGCTCAGTGGCTAAGAGGCCGAGCTTTTCGATCAGAAAGGTTGGCAGTTCAGCGGTTCGAATCCCTAGCGCCACGTAACAGAGTGAGCTCCCGTTACTTGTCCTAGCTTCTGCCAACCTAGCAGTTCGAAAGCATTTAAGAAAAAATAGGAACCACCTTTGGTGGGAAGGTAACAGTGTTCCATGTGCCTTCGGCCTTTAGTCATGCCGGCCACATGACCACAGAGACGTCTTTGGACAGTGCTGGCTCTTCAGCTTTGAAACGAAGATGAGCACCACCCCTTGAATTAGGAACAACTAGCACATATGCACGAGGGGAACCTTTACCTTTACCTTATCTTAGATATTTTCTTAATGTGTGTAATTGTGTTTAAGGTTTAAGTGCCTGCATACAAATATCACAGAATTTCAAAATAAACTCTAAACATTCAACATTTTATCATTGTCTCAATTTCTTTTTCATTCATGCTCACCTGCTTGTAAATGAACATCACAAGGATCTATTGATGAACTGTCATACCCAGGACTACAGGATGATGATGTTTTCCAGGAATTTCCAAAAAGCTGAGGTGTAGTTTCTGGCACTCCAACTGGAGATCTTTTTTAATGATTTTTAGCAAATGATTGGTTTTGAAAATAAGCAGTAACATCAATTAAAAACACATACTTCGATTATTGGATGCATACAGTGATATTAACAGAATTGACTATTGTGTGGTCCTGGTATCAGGAATCTATAAATCTCCTTATTATAAAACATTATATAATGCATTATATTTTAAAAGTACACTCCTATAAAAATATTACTGCGCAGAAAAAGAAAAACATTGTGACAAGTTAAACAATATATCTGCATTGAGTTTGTGTGCAAAAATATTTCATTTTATAAAAAGTTAGGCAATCAATTATAACTAAGCGTGACCTTTCTAAATTGAAATCGAAGGAACTGAAAAATACTAATGTAGCCATTGCTCTAAACAAGGGTTTCTCAACCTTGGCAGCTTTAAAATGCATGGACAGAATTCTCCATGCAGGATGGGAATTACTCAAAGTTGAAGTCTATGGATCTTAAAGTTTGTAAGGTTGAGAAATACCACTCAAAACTATTTAGAACAAGTTTTTCAAACTATGTTCCACATAGAATTCTAGTATTCTATGAAAACTTGATGAGGTTCTGTTAGAGAAAAAATTCATTCAAATGCAGCCAATTTGCTGTCACCAGAGTTTTGTCTCTTAATCAGGAGTTGAGAGATTTTTAGGAGGTGGGGTGACTAACAAGTTCTGTTACCGGAACATTTAAAACTCTTGATTAGGAGGTTACCAAAACAAAAAACAACCCTGTATTTGATGAAGAGGTGAGTCAAATATTTAGAAATACTGCTTATTACCTCTCTGTATATGAACATTTGTCCAAATATTTAGAATTAAGAGAAAAAAGCCACATGTAGGACTCTTCTTCATTGCAAAAGGCTGCATGATAAACCCCAGATTTGCCAAATTATTGCTGACAATAGCAAAGTATAATTAAGTAATGTCTACCATCCGTTGGGGAACTGTTTCACCTTACCTGCAAAACAATTATTAACTATGCTCCAGTACCTATTGATAGCATATAAAATATGCTCTATACTTTGCTTTAGTTTAGCAGTACTGTATATCTTCTATTCAGTGCCCATAGCATTATGACAGTGGGATTAAAAGAAATTAATACTAGAAATGGAGAATATTTAGATCATTACAGAAAACATGCTAGAGAATCATCTTTTTCTAAGCAACTTAGCTTTGTGAGACACAAGATGATGATGATCATGATCATGATTTATTATTATTATTATTATTATGATGTTAATCTTTGGTGAGATTCACAGCCTTTGGGGCTGATTGGTAGCTCAACAGCTGGAGTCCTAACCAAGGACCTAGGAACTGTTAAGGTAACGTAGGAGGATATAAGCTATTCCAAGTAGGGTGCTTTTTTGTAGAGTCCGAATGTTCAAGTCAGGTAAATTTAGAATTTCCAAATAGAGAGGTAGCCCTTTAGGTATTGCTCCAAGGCCTCCAATTACAATCGGGACCACACTCAATTTCTTTTTCCAAAATCGCTCAACTTCAATTTGCAAGTCTCGGTACTTTGTGATTTATTATTATTATTATTATTATTATTATTATTATTATTATTATTATTATTATTATTATTATTATTATTATTATTATTGTTGTTGTTGTTGTTGTTGTTGTTGTTGTTGTTGTTGTTGTTTACTTTATTCATTAAACATGAATCTCAGCCAACTGAACATTCAAAAATGCATTACAAATACCATTGACTGGTGCTAATGGTTGATACAGTTTGCTGCCAGCGTCCTAGATAACCAAGTACCTTCTTAAAATATAAGATGTTCCAAGTAGCGCAATTTTTTGCAATTCCGTTGGTGTTATTGCAGGAAGCTGCAATTTGTTGATGCATCTTATAAAATTCTTGGACATGGTGCCAAGTGCCATGATGACAATGAATAACAATAACAATAACACATGGATAAAAATGTTAAAGCCAGTCTAAACATCTGGCTCTTTGTTCAAATAATGAAGATGCTAAAGTGCTCTGGGACCTTAGAGAATTCTTAACAGACAAGCACCTGCCACATAATACAGACCAACCAAGTCTTGTTTTATGGCAAATGTAACTGTGGCTAAAAGAAGGACATGTGGAGATAGTAGAAGACAAAGAATTGGAAAAGATCACAAAATATCAAGATCTGAAAATAAAAATTGAAAGATTATGGCATAAACCATAATTTTTGGCAAGGCACCCAGGATGCCAATAATCACTATGTTGATCACAGTGGTTATTGGCACATTGGGTACTGTGCTAACAAATCTTGAATAGAACTTGCAAAATCTGTGCACATACAAAATTTCCATCTGTCAATTACAAAAGATGATACTGCTTGGATCTGCAATAGGTTGTCAGATAGTATGTCCAGCACCATTTTAACTTTCTTGTCGCCCAAGACCACCACCCAAAACCCCTTCAACTAAGTGCCTTACAAATGTGACTATTTCTTTTCTTCTAATAATGAACTTGTTTGATATTTTTCTACTTATTGCAAAACTGCAGTGATTAAAAACCTTTTCTTAGTATTTATGAAAATGTATTTCTAGAATGTACATACAAAAAATCATCCTGAGTATTTCCATTGAAAGTTCCACAGAGGCCAATCGTGTCATCTTTCCATTGAGCATCAGCTTCAAGATAGAGTCTTAAACCTTTCCAGTCATAAAGTATTTGTAATCCAATGTATGATTTAATTTGTAAAAATACAGAGGAAAGTTTCCTAATTTCAAAGGAATCTAAAAGACATAAATGGAAGATATGTCAATAGTAACCTCAAATACTGTTGAAAAGCTCATTTTATTTTACCATTTGCTTAAAGCTTGTTAGAGATGGATCTCCATAGACTCCATATTTCAGAAAGTTCACTCCAATTCAAATTTACACAGACTCTAAGTTCATTTCCAAGTTGATGGCACTGATTGTTCCTGGTAATGATGGCCTTAAACCTAAACCTTGGATGCCTCTTCAAATATTTTGCAGACTTTTTATGATGAAGGGATGGAATCAATTACTGTAGGACTGACTTTACAGTATTTATGTTGAAGCTATATAGAACATTTCCAAAAATAATTCTTTTTACACAAACTCCTTCAGATTTGAGCTGGAGCCACTTCCTCCACCAATAAAAAATAAAATATCCCATTTACTGTTCTTAGCTGGAATACAAACAAGGGAATATAACATAGATGACATAAAATGAATTATCATAACACTTGCAAATAAGGCCATGGATGGATTAGCTGAATCCACTTTGGGTGAGGAATTTTGGAACCAAAAATTCTCAGCTTATTCTCAGCAATATCTCTTTTTCTATCTGAATGATGGTCTATCACTGACTTATTCTGCTTCAATATATTGGTCATTTTTTTTTCACTTTTCATCCCTGATACTGGCCAAATAGAAAATTTAATAGATTAAAAAAAATAGAAGTGATCTAAACTGCACCAAACAGAGGACCATGAAACCTGTGACTTCCATGGCAAACAACATATAACTAAAATCATAACATCCATATTTGTAATATTATTTTTATAACAATTTGTTCTAACTTACCATCAATATATGGTAGATTAACTTTATATTGATCATGTACCAAAACATCTCCTGAATGGGTCAGAGTTACTTGCCTCCTAAAATCTTGACTGAAAATAAGACTGATCGATTGGATACAAGTTCCATCATGATTCTAGAAAGATGATGAAAACAAACAATGCCTTAAAATAAAGTGGAATTCATAATAGATCAAGGTTTAAGTATAATAATTCTCATTGAAAAAAATTTGTAAATGAATATGAGATGAATTATGACCTCACAGATATTTGCGGCTTCACTTTATTTATTTAATTCGATTTTGATACTGCTCAACAGTGACTCAAAGCGGCTCACAATATAAAAAACAAAACATGAACACAATATACTATATGGTATTTACAGTAAGTTAAATAAGTACAGTAAAATAAATTACATGATGGAAAATCCAGACATTTGCACCAAAACCTATGAAGGATTTGTCAAACACACCCAACAAGTGGTACCATCCATCCATCCATCCTACCCCAAGGTTTGGGAAACAGCCAAGTCTTTAAGGACTTCTGCAATGTCTTTTGGCTAGGAATTGTCCAGCCCTCAGGAAAGATCTTATTCTAGAAGGCAGAGGAGTGTTTCCTGTGTCCCAAAATATGGCATTATTTAATCGAAGGGACCCAGAACATATCTACTCTCTCCACTTATAATGGTTGGCAAAAGTACAGGTAGTCCTCAACTTACAACAGTTCATTTAGTGACTGTTCAAAGTTATAACAGCTTGTAATATCCCCATGGTCACATGATTAAAATTCAGACTGACTCATATTTATGCTACTTGCAGTGTCCCAGGGTCACGTGATCACCTTTTGTGACTTTATAATAGGTGAAGACAAGCAAAGCCAGATTCACTAAACAAACGTATTACTAAGTCAAAAACTGCAGTGATTCACTTAGCAACTGTGGCAAGGAAGGTCATAAAATGGGGCAAAATTCACTTAACAAGTGTCTCACTTAGCAACAAATGTTTGGGGCTCAACTGAGGTTGTAAGTCAAGTTTTACATGAATGGGAAACAGGCATCTCCTTAGACAACTGGCTTTATAGATAATAAACAGCATTAGAACCACATTAAGGGGAAAAAACCCCTGTCAATCAATGCAGTTCTTGAAGCAAAAGTCCTTCTGGGCAGGCCAAGGAAACCCACCACTGCTCGTGCTGCTACATTCTACACCAGTTGAAGCTGCTGAGCAGTCTTCAAGGCATTGCCATGCAAAACACATTCCAATAGCTGAACCATGAGGTGACAAGAGTGTGAGTTAATGTTTAGAGAACTGCCTGATCCACGAAGAAGTGCAACTAGTATGTCAGATGGTACTGCATTACTATGGTCCACTTGACCACAGCTGCCACCTCTTCTTTGAGCAGGACCTAGGGGTCTAGGAGGACCCTTAGATTCCACATTACCCCTGAATGGGGATGTGAAAACCTAGAATAAGGCCTGCATGCCTGTTGTAAGAAAGGCCAGTCAGAGGAGTCATAGGCCACCAGCAAATTCTCTCCTTAATAAACATGGGAATCTGATATCAGTGTTATACTTAGTTATAAAGGTTGCCATCATATCAAAGTAATGTTTGAGATCAAAACAAGCCATGAATGTAATATGGACATACTGTAGCATTACTGAGAACTATGAAGTACTTTCTAGATGCAAATACCTTAACTATAAAATAATTCTAGCCATGTTAACCAACAAAACACAAAATGCTTCACTTCCTTTTTCCCCCTCAGGTTTAGAAAAGTTATGAAATTCATACATCCAAACTTGCTTTTTTTTTAGATTTCCTGGCAATGTACTTTTACAAACTAATTTAATTTCAAAAAAACATTTTAGCCCCAAAACTCTATGAAAGGATTGGAATCATTTTGAGTCCTCTTTTTCAAACAACAATCTCTAGTTGAAATTATGCTGTTAATAAGTTTTTTTAAGGTATCATTTTTCGTAAATAACTTGAAGCCAAATATTTGAAATTACAGCTCGTTTTAGCTTTCACAATTCAGCATGTTGAGTTGCTATTGTAAAAACTCCTTTTTCCAAGAATAATTTAAGCTACCTCAGGTAATTACTACCTTCAGATCTTATCATTCCATTTTTATATCTTTTTGGTCAACTAGTTAGAAAGTGATGATTGACATGCTTCACTGGAAGATAGTCTGCTTTATTACATATCCTCAATCTGAAATACACAGTCAAATGATGAAAGGAAACCACTGTAGACCCAAATAGTTTTATCTGGAAATCACATGACAGACTATGAAACAATTTTAAACTGTTCAATAAAAAGTGGAAACTAAGAAATCAGATGAACATAAAGGAGCAGCACAATATGATTAAACCATCCACCTCAGGTAAATAAGAGAAGCTAAATGAAAACCAATACTATTGAAACCTAAGAAGAAGAAAGCTGCGTTTTGTTTCATTTTTTGAAGTGAAGATAATTCCACTGTTTTATTTTGAGGAACAGGCTTTACATTTCAAAGGTTTAAAGTGGGAAGGAGAAATGGGATTCTACCACAACATTGTGCTGCTGGTTCTGTAACAATAAACGCAGTGCAAATTTTCTAGTTCGACTGACAATAAGGAATTTTTCAGGGCTATACTTTAAACCCCAACCCCCAGTCCGTGAATCAGCATATGCTGACTCTGTAAAACCGCTTAGAGAGGGCTGAAAGCCCTATGAAGCGGTATATAAGTCTAACTGCTATTGCTATTGCTATAGGTGAATCGAAGTCATAAAAATCCACCCCTTCTTTCTTTAATTTGCTCTGCATTAAATCCATATGGCACGTCATGCCTTTAGAATGGAATTCAAAGATGAGTGTTCAATCAGAAAACAGCAGGATATGTATTTCTCAGAAAGGTGACTTAATTTTTAAGCTATCAGCATGCTTGCTTTTATCAGCTCACCTGTCCACAAGGAGCATTTTGTAGAGTCACAGCAAATTTGTCAGAGACACGACTTTTTGCCAAGATATACTGGCAGGGTGCTTGAAAAGTAAACTTGCGCCCATCAAATGTCATGAAGTGAATATCTCCTGAAACTGAGCACTGAGCTGGCAACAAAGAATAAAAAAAGGATTTTTTTTCCCCAATATGCTACAAGAATGTTTTGTGATGTTGTATTTGATATTAAATGCTGAATGATATCAAGACAACCATACAAGGATTGCAAAGATAAATAAACAGTCTTGCTTATGCTACAGTCCTTTCATCTTTTTAAAAATGATTGTTTCCTTTAAGAACCTGTTTCAGCACACATTTGAGGAGATGTCATCCTCCCTCACCTGGCCCAAGAAACAAACATGTAAAAAAGAATTTGTCTATCCCTATTTATTAAATGAATAAAATAAATCTTAAGGAACCAGTTTGATGTAGAGATGAACACATGAGGCTAGAAATGAGAAGGAGGCTATGAGTTCTAATTCTCCCTTAGGCACAAAGGCAGCTTGGTGGCTTTAGGCCGGTCACTCTCTCTCAGCCCTAGGAAGGAGGCAATGGCAAACCATCTTTGAAAAACCTTCTCAAGAAAACTGCAGGGGCTTGTCCAAACAATCTCAGATGATCTAATGAAAGAATACATACATGAATACATGTTATTTTCATGCTGAATATCTGTGTGGGAGACATTCACAGTTCACTATTTAGTCTGTGTGAAAGATATCTATGTCTAGATTTTTAATAGAGTGGTTGGATCTTCTTTTAGGGGAATGATCTAAGCCCATTCCTTGCCAGTTTTCCAGAATTGAAGAGATTTTTTAAAATCCACAGCACAATTATGGCATCAAGTGAAAGCTCATAGAAGTTGAAGGGACAGAATATGATCTATATTTGGAAAATGAAGCATTAAGAAATAATGCACAAAGAAAAGGTTGAATAGGTTTAAAAAGAATTGGTTGGTTTGTTTTTAATTTGGAAGATCTGATCATGGATATTTCTATATCATTGGGCTCTGCATATTCTTAATGAGCAATGAAATGAATGGTACATGGTATATGAAATGAATGGAAATTGAGTGGAGCTAAACTGCAGACTTAGGCATGATGTTCATAAGTAGATAGCTACAGCTTATAAAAAACAGGCAGTCAGAAACAAATACTAATTTACAATAATAGGGTGACAGCTGAGAAAATCTGCAAAAATGTTACCACTAATATTCCAAGCTAGAAAGGTTTATATGAATGATCAAAAAACTGATGTACCTGGACAGGTAAGATTAGTGCAAATCCATTTTCCTCCAGAACATGTACTGAAAGAAAAAAAGATTTGAAACTTGAGAAAGTAGCCAATGTATAACACTAAACTATATACTGAAATCCTCATATACAGAACTATATACTGAAGTGAGCCATAAAAAGTCAGAAACCAAAGCTGAACCAGGATTTCTGGTAGAGTTTATGCTCTAAATCTCAGAAAACAATTTACAGTAGGGAAATACTAATGGAAATAAATAGATCTTTTCATATTCACCAAATATATTGTGGTATCTATGTATTCCTTGTTTGCAATCCTATTAAAGGAGGAAGTCACACATGCTTGGGACAAGAACAAGAATGAAACTCTTTTGTCACAACGTGTTCAAAATAAAGCATATTACATCATAGAGATGTTATTTTTTTTAAAAAGATGAGAGATAATTTTCTTTCAAAGACTATTCTTCAAGTGTGCAATCTAGGCATCAAACTCAATAACAATATAAATAACAAATCATGATATTTAGATAAATATATAGATATAAGAAAAATACAATTTTAAATTTATCCATATAGAACACAATTATTTATAACATAATTTGCCAAGCAATCTTGAACATTTCCACAGCAGATCTTACAGCCTGTAAAAACTTGCTTTGTATGTTGCTTTGTACTGGTAATTTTGGGTAGTATATATTATTAAAAATTAAAAAGCAACCCATAGAATTACCCAATTTTTAGCTGAGACAATTGGTGGGATTACCAATCTTGTTCCTGGTTATGAAGCACTCTTGCATTTTTTTTCCTATACTCAGAGATGTGGCTGCTTCTCTTCTGTTCATAATAATAAATTCAACAACTTTCTCTTGGATGAAAGAAAATATCCAAATGACCCTATGCTTTAAGATACATTCTTAGTATGTATCTGTATAAACCTACTAAGGATCTTGACTTCTATCAAATTCAAAAACTTTCTTGAAAGGAGAATGTACCACTTAGTGAACTTCATATGTTGCTATACAGAGGACTCCAAGTCCTATCATTCCAAAAGTGGAGGCATTCATTTTGGCTTCTTAAAATACCATATTTTTCAGAGTATAAGACGCACTAAGATTTTGAAGAGGCAAATTAAAAAAAAAGGTTTTGTACTCTGCAGACTTCCCAAAAATGGCCCATTTTTTCACAAATACAGGCCCATTTTTGTCAAAAAAATAAAGGGCACGCATAACCTTTAGGAGGCTTCCAAAATGCTCCTCGGGGCTGGGGAGCAAAAATGAGCAAAACGGCCCATTGTTTGCTCATTTCTGCCCTCCCCAGACCCCAGGAGCACTTGGAAGCCTCCTAAAGGCTATGCATGGCCATCTTTGCAAAGGAGGCAGGGTTTCAGGAGGCCAAAAATGCTATATTCAGTGTATAAGATGCACCCAGATGTTCACCCTTTTTTGAAGGAAAAAGTTGCATCTTATACTCCGAAAAATATGGTACTTTTTTTTTTTGTAGGGAACCAATTGAGGAAATGGAAGCACAATACAGGAAAGTTACCCTAAGGTGCTATAGTGAAAAGCATCCCTGGTTTTGTTATACAAGGTAAGGTAAAGGTAAAGTTTCCCCTCACATATATGTGCTAGTTGTTCCCGACTCTAGGGGGCAGTGCACATCTCCCTTTCAAAGCCAAAGAGCCAGCGCTGTCTGAAGACGTCTCTGTGGTCATGGGGCCAGCATAACTAAATGCCGAAGGTGCAAGGAACATGGTTACCTTTCCACCAAAGGTGGTCCCTATTTTTCTAGTTGCATTTTTACGTGCTTTCGAACTGCTAGGTTGGCAGAAGCTGGGACAAGTAACGGGAGCTCACTCCATTACGCAGCATTCGGGATTTGACCTGCTGAACTGTCGACCTTTCTGATTGACAAGCTCAGTGTCTTAGCCACTGAGTCACCCTTTCTTTGTTATATAACATGTTATAAACGTTACTTTCAAGCTTTTCCCAAAGAGAATAATTTTTTTGAGAGTCAGAATAAGCTATAATGTCCAATGCTCTGGAATTCTGCTAAATGTTTATGGAAGGAAACTCCCTTACCTTGGAAATATAATTAACAAACCATATGACTTTGACAACTATTTGTCTAATAGTAATATATTTTGTTGTATGAATGTAGTAAAACATGGATAAAATTTTCAGGAAATTATTTACCAGTTATTGCATTCCTCTTGAACAACTGCACCAGTTCTGTGGAGAGTTCCATGGTAATCACAAGGGCAGTCAATTGGCCTCACACATAATCTGTCTTCATAAATAAGGCCTAGAATGTATATTCAATAGTAGGCAGAAAATTATCAAGTCATGTGATTGGTAACAACATATTTTTGACTGCATAGTATTTTTAAAAAATCCCTTCACAATGCACAATATTATTTAGATAATATTATTATTTCTCCAAAATGTTTTAAATATGAACAATTTCAAATTTGAAAGCCCTCATTTAAGTGTAAAATGTCCTGTTTCAAATGCAAAAAAAAAAAAAAAGATTTTTAGGCTGCAAAACTGTTTTGCTTGATGAGGAAGTTTTGAGATTTAAAAAGTCATTTTTTTAAGTAAAACTTGGTTTTAAGTCTGAAGCACTTCGAAAATTATTATACTCTGGTTTCTCTTCAGATCATATAAAATGATTAAAACAACCTGATTCACATTTAGAAGAGGAATTTTCAGATTAAAAACTATTCAAACCTGAAATGTTTTATGCTGCAAGTTGCTACTTATTCCTATCATAAAGGACAAGCATAAAAATATGTTACAAACAAATAAGACTCTAACAATATTCAGATTCAGAGAGGAAAATGCAATTTGAAACACACCAGGGCATTAGATTATTCCTAGAATTCCCTTAGGTTGATTTCATCTATCCCTATAACAATTTACAATTTCACTAAGAACATTAACTTGGGTGGCAAGCTCTCAAAATATAGCTATTTAGCCATTCTGCTGTAGATTTGCAAGAATGCCACCCACGAAATAGCCATATTACCATCTGGGCAATAGCATCCATCAACACAGGGAAGTTCACTGTCAACACAGTGAGTTTTTTGGCGACAGGAAAATGGGCAACAGTCAATGCATTCATTGTAGACAAGATGCTCCTCGCATTTAACAACTGCAAAAATAGAAGACATGGGGGATGTTACCTGATTTATGCAATTGTTTCAGTTTCATTTAATAAAAGAGTTCTGTTCAAGGGTTTATGCCTCTATAAATCCATTAGAACTTTAAAGTCTCTTCAGATTTTTAAAAAATATTGAATGCTTTTTTGGTTTTTAAAATGATATGTTATTTTCCTTTCCCATTCCTCCAATCATAGATGAAGATTTTATTTCATATCTAAAATGCTTTCCAAAACTACAGCTGAACCAAATATAAAATCATTTGCTTAACATTTGAAACAATGTCTGCAAGATACTACTGAGTTGTGCAAAACTAAGTCCCTAAGACTTTTCTTGCCTCACTGCCCTCATTTTGGTGCACAGCACACAGCAGTTGTATCTTCCTTCCATGTGCCTCCTATAATCCCATAGTTTAAATTATTTGTAATCTTAAAGTCTGGATGTACAAAAAGAAGGATTGCTGAATGGAAGCTCACAAGAAGCTCACTTTCCCAGATGGCCTTGTGCACTGCTTCTGGGCAGCTGATATGATGGGAAGGAATAGAAAAGATATATATGATATACACACTTCAGCAGAATCTTGATTTCCTACTTTTTTGGGGAATGAAAATCATTCAATTCGGAGTGGCTCAAGAATCTTTTATCTTTTCCAAGGTCAGTAAAATGAGGACCCGGATTGTGGGGGGGGGGGGGGGGGAAGCAATATGCTGACTCTTTAAACTAGTAAGAGAGGGTTGTAAAGTACTGTAAAGCAGTACAATAGTCTAAGTGCTATTGCTATTATCAGACAGGATCAATGTTAAATGTTCTTATTCCTAACTTGATATTTATTATGAAATATTGTATAAAGTTTCTGATTGGGTATACAAATTTTATTTATTTCTCTATGATAACAATACATGCAGAAATGTGGTTCTCACTGGTTTTGTATGTTTCTAACTTATGTAATCATTACCATTCTCTGTTAGTAAATTTAGCAATTTAAAAGTCAGGATTTAAATATTATAAACTTAGTGAAAGCTGAACTGATTAAGAATATGAAAACAAATTGCCCGGGGGGGGGGGGGGAGAGAAAAACATAGGAAACTACAGAGACTGGGAAATATTCTGAAAACCTTCAATGCCTACCACATTGCTCAAAATGAGCCCGCCATTCATGGAGTGGTTTTCCTGCTTGAGCACAAGTCCTTGCGTATTCGGTTAATGCACGACACCAAGTGGTATTATCAATGCCTGACCTTAAAAACATTAAAATTAACATAACATCACCATCTCTATTTTCATACAAGAGCAGTATGGTAATATTAATAATTTATTAACAATCCAGAGATATTATTGATAATAGCATGCATTCTTTTATTATTATTTTGAGCATTGCACAAAATGAAAACAATATATTATAAAAGCAGTGTTGTAGTGTTTTGGGAAAGATATTCAGAATAATTCACAACACCTAAATTTAGATAAAGTGGCTTTAAAAGTAAAAGTAAAGGTTTCCCCTATCCAGTCGTGTCCAACTTTAGGACAGTGCTCATCTCCGTTTCTTAGCCAAAGGAGCCAGCGTTATCCTGTGGTCATGTGGCCAGCATGACTAAACACCAAGGTTCATGGAACACTGTTATCTTCCCACCAAAGTGGTACCTATTTATCTACTTGTATTTACATGCTTTTGAACTGCTAGGCTGGCAGGAGCTAAAGCAAGTAACAGGAGCTCACCGCATCACAAGGTGCTCGCATCTCGAACCCAAGCTGACAAGCTCAACATCTTTAACTGCTGAGCCACAGCCCCCTCATTGGCTTTAAACAAATAAAATTAAAATAGATTAATCTAAATTCACAGTTCAAAATGGCACACTAAACAGCAGGTAACTTGAAAAAGAAATTTCAGATCTGGTCTGAAGTAAAACTTAGAGACAGAGCTCTTAGAGCTCATTATTATAGAACTAAACCATGATTTAATATTAAATCAGAATGCAATCAGATAACAAGAATTCAAAATAAATAAATCGTATCAATTTGTTCCATTTTCACTCAATTATATGAGAATGAACAAATGAATACCACTCTACAACAATTGAAAAAGAACCAGGTGGGAATTAAATACTTGGCCAAAATGAATCCTGCTATATATACATACTATGTCATCTTGAACATGTTGAGAACTTGCTTCTAGAGATCATGATGATGTGTGAAATATGAATAGTGTAAGAACTGGAGATAATAATATAATAATTAGACCCATGTACATTCATGAGCTTTTGGGGATCTTAGCTACTCACTCCTAACTCTGGACTTCAAAAAATGGATACTTACATGCATAAATCATTTGTGCAACTGGCCATGAAAGGGAATGGGCTCACAAATTCATGACATTCTTTAAAGGGGAACCAGAGCAATACACTGCATAATGTGTAAGTCCTCTGAAAAGAGAGAGAGAAAAAGATGAGAAATGTTGTTTTAAACCGTACCAAAATAAAATAAAAAACAGAAAAGCAATTCAGGAAGTTCAGACTTCCACGGGAGCTGCAGTTTTAAGGAGGAATTACTGAGTCTGTCATATGTTCTTCTGTAATGTTCTGGTTTGTACAGCAACCAAACAGGATAGGTACTGATTCCAAAGGACAGTTAAGACCACAGAATGAACAATTGCAATAGCCTGCCTTCTATATTGCTTGAGCCAGAAAGGGGGCTGAGAAAATATCTGTAGATCCATCACATCCTGGACATAAACTGTTTCAACTCCTCCCCTCAAGACAGCACCAAGGGCACTGCATGCCAAAACTAGTAGACATTTTTTCCATCATGCCATCCAGGGGTGGAATTCAGCCAGTTCAGACTGGTTCAGGCAAACCGGATGTTAAATTTAATCAGGTTTGTTGAACTGGTAATTGAAGGGACTGGCTGATTCCGCTTACCATACTCCGCCCCTCCCAGGAGTCTCCATGCGGCCCATTTTGGATGCCAGTGCAAAAGTGGCAGGGTCTTCACGGAGGCTCTGGCAGGATGAAAATGGGCCTCCCAGAAGTACTGGAAGTCTGGAAACAGGCCTATTTCCGGCCTCCAGAGACCCTTCAAAGCCCAGGGAGGCCGTTTTCACCTTCCTAGAAGCTCGAGGAAAACCTCCGGAGCCTGGGGAGGGTGAAAACTCCCCCCCACCATGGTGCAGGAAGCCAACTCGGCAACACCCCCATGGCCACGTCACCCAGCAACTGGGCAGAGAACCGGTTGCTAAAAATTTTCAATCCCACCCCAATGCCATCAATCTACTGAACATTGTCTAAAACCTGGGTCTTCTTTGTCACAATCCAATAATCACTTCACCATACTTCACTGATTGCTCCTATGACACTTTCAGCATTTATAAAGTCTTCTAGACCACAGGGTTTCTCAACACTACGTCAACTATGAATACAAAGATACATACATACATACATTTATACATACATTTATACATACATACATACATACATGTCAATATGGCACACTTATATAATAAAAGAGCAGTGAATATGACTGAATACACCCAAAAGTTTCACATTTAGAACTAAATCTTAGTTTGAGTGGTGTGTTGAATACCTACCTGCAAAAATGCATCAGTTCGAGTCAAACAGGGTGGTTCATAGCTAAATGATGTGCCCCAGGAACGGATGTTCTCCTGAGGAGGATTTTCTCTCCAGCTTTCCACAAATTCTTCAATGTCTTCTGTATTTTTTCCTAGGGGCAGAAATACACAAATGCATTGCATAAAAGTCGCAAGTTTGCTTTAGCATCATTGTTTTCTTTCACAATTTCCATTTAACTGCTCAAGTAATGTTAAATTAGTTCTAATTAGTTCTGAAACGGAGTTAATCTTCATCCATTAACACCCTGCTTTCTAATGGAGTCATTGTACATATGCTAATCAGGTATAGTGAAGCCAGTTCAAATGCTTTCACTGCTATTGATAGAATAATTCTATAACATAAACTGGAAATCTTCACTGATGTTTTTGAATGAATTTTGAAATTTCTTTTTGCATTAGTCCACTCTAGAAATTTTCTGCAGTACTGTGTGGGATCTAACAATCATGGGATGAGTCTCTAATCAACAAAGCATATACACACAAACACATAGAAAATGCATAATGTAGGACACACAGTACTAATTATGATCCCATAACATAAGCAATCTGCGTGTTCAGACTATAGAGAATGGGAGCACAATAAGTTTTCTGCATATTCTTTGGAAGAAAATTGTTTTGAGTATAATAGAAGGTTTCATGATTTTTCTCTCTTATTTGACTGATTACAAGAGCCCTACTTCCATATAATGAAATCTGTATTTATGACCCAAAATAGGAGATCAGGCTGTTAAGTTCAAAATTTATCTTGCTATTACAATACTGCCTTTACTTAACTCCTAAACTACATTAAAAAATAGTTTAGTTCTAATGTTCCTGTGTCTTAAATATTCCATACATATAAAACTAGAACAATCTTAATAGTGTTGGCAAATCTTTTCGGCACTGAGTGCTGAAATTGGAGCGTGTGCACGCCAGGGAGTGCCAAAAACCAGAATAGCAGCTCCCTGGCACGCATGCGCACTCCATGAAGCTGAGCTTCTTGTTTCCGACGTGCACATGCACATTGGTCACCTGGCCTTCTGGGTTTTGGCACACATGTGAAGACCAGCTGGCCGGTGCATATGCTTGTGCCAGAAACCAGAAGCTCAGCTTCCCAACACGCATGTGCTCCTACGCGTGTGAAGATCAGCTGTCTGGCATGCATGTGTACTCCGGAACCCAGAAGAGCAATGGGTGATGGCTGGCATGCCTGGAGAGATAGCTCTGTGTGCCATTTCCGGGCATGTGTGCCATAGGTTCGCCATCATGGTTATAGATATATCTTTTTTTTTCTATGTTCAGTTTCATATTAGAATATCTCATACTGAGCTGCCCAAAGTAAAATTATCCTTAAATGTTTGGATTTTCTTAAGCCTCTTATTAATTCTATACTGCATTTTATTTATATTTCATTTGCTTGGACATATTTATACACATAGCATAAATATATACTAGAGCAAACATTAGAATTCAAGTAAATACTCACCATAACTTGTGGAAAGTTCATCCTGCAGAATGGCATTGTTATTACCACACAGTCCATGAGTTTTACCCAAATAATCTGGAGCCATCTTAATATAAACAGCAGATACTCCATCCCAAGCTAAAGAGAATGCATACTGATGTCTAACAATGACATATCCAGCTACTTTTTGGATATGCAATTTTCCTATGGTATACGGTAATTGTATTCTAGGAAACAAAACAAACATCACTATAAAGAAAACAACATACTTTTATTTTCAAATGTTACTAAAGTAATTTCCATTTTCAGCTTTCTAATTTTATAACTGCCAATGAAAATCAAACAAAATCACTGCCTTCAACTACACAGATCTTACTTTGGGTTAGTAACAATATTCTTAACATGGTTTGGAGAACAATCTTAACTCCCTGGTTTTGAATAGCTATGTTTCAGTGGTGGGTTCCTAACCGGTTTACTACCGGTTTGCTCGTGCTTGAGTTTGCGTGTGCAACACTTCTGGTTGTTACCAGTTCGGCTGACAGCACCCACCTCTGCTATATTTCTTGTGAAAAGGTGTGGAAAGCAAGCAGAGGAGTTCAGTTGGTGTGAGAAAGGGCAGCATGGCCCAGAGATATGCCTGGGACCCATGGAATGGAAATATTTCAAAGAGATTGCACTGCAATTGCTACATTCTGTTTGGAAATGTAAGTTTACAGTTTTCTAGATTGTTTTTATCCCCCATTGGCATTAAAGAGGCCTTTCTGAAACCCTGCTTCTTATGTTAGTCAGCTATGTAGTTTTTAACAGATCTGGCGAAAGTATCCCTGTGAGTCCAGAAACATTTAATAGTCAGCAGAAGGTTATAGGAAGTTTTTTACTTTAAAAAAATAGATACTGATCTCAATTCCAGAATGAATTAGAAAGTATTCACTATGTATTGTCCCCAGGAATGAAACTGGTCTATATTTAGAAACTGCAGAGAATACTTAAATCTGCAATGTTGAAATAATAGTGTAGGTAAAAATACCAAGGAAAATGAGAACATACGGGTACATTTGTTTAACTTACCCAATGCCTTTGTAAGTAACTTCATTACTTAATCTGATTTCTTCTTCTCCAGAAAAATATAAACTAACTGATCGTTTACAGGAATATGGAAAAGAACTGCATTCTGGATCATTATGGATCTGCAAAAAACAAGTGGGAAAATAATATTAAGAAAAATTATATTACAATTTGCATACAAGTTCAGATACAGGATCCTAAATAACATTGAAATTATAAACATTAGCTCAATGTCTGTATCTTAATAATTGCTGAATTGATTGTTAGCTTGATACCACATTTGGTAATAACTCTATTCCCCCAAATACAAAACAGTACATATAAGTGAAGCTTGGAACATTTAGGTTCAATCAAAATCCACCTTTTTTGGAACTCTATTAAGTTGGGATCTCTGCAGCCTTCAACATTTGCATGAAACATGTTTAATTAATCTCCAATTGAACCTGCTCCTAAATCTCTGCCAAATTTAGAAAAATTTTCATGACCACAAATCATGATGGAGTTATAAGAGTAATAGGTATCAACTTTTTTCATCTTCCTGCACAGAAAAGCATTTCATATTGGTTCATGAAATCTCAATCAAGCAGCAATAGAAAAAAAACCAGAAGCATCCATCATACACCCCTATTCTTTCTGACATTCTCTAAAACAGATGGTGTTAGAAGTGTCATATTATGCAAGTAACCAACTACTAGATTAACTAGTTAATTCATAAAGCCCAGAGTCGAGGAAAACAACTTTACTACACAATACTCCTTCCTTCATTCTTATTTTCACTTACTTGTATGGAAAAACTCTGTTCATCTAATTCATTCTGCCTGACAAGAACATATGTTGATTTCCCAGAGAAAAAATAGTAAAGTCCATCAAAAGTTTCATAATGATATTGTCCCCATGTTCGACAAATGTTGTCTCGTTCTGTTCCCATGTTATGTACTATAGCAAAAGAAGAGGGAAAGAATCATTCAGAAGCAATACTACTCTTTGCTTAAATTGGATCCAAGAAAGTGATGACTATAAACATATAGCTAGAAGTGGGGAAATATTTATTTTCACAATATGCGTTGTGATATATAGTACTTATGGTTGTTGAGATTCCATTTCTTCTTCAGAATATGACCTGAAAGCTACAAACTACAGATTTGTGCCTTTGGGGGAAGTGTGTTGATTCTGAGAATAAGTCTGTCAATCATGTTAAAGGATATTTCTGCATCTTAGACCATTCTAGGTAAAACAGGTAATATAAAATGATATTGTCTCCTTACCTATCTGACATCTTGATCCAGTTGCGTTATATCGACTACAGTTGCACATTTTCCAATGTACACATTCACCTCCATTGAAGCACGCAAATAAACCTAAATCTATTTAAGTTAAAAATAATAACAACAACATGGAATAATTTTGTTACAAGTTACATACATTCTAACTGGGTAGTTACATGAAAAATGATCATTAGAATGTACCATACCTTTTCAACTAATGTTAGAAATCTTCTCAGCTAATAGTTATACTTTATGATATTTTATTCTATATGACATTTCTGAATATACATTAAGAGGGCTTGTTCCAAAGGTGTTTTTTTCAAGAGGCAACTTGATTTCCTATTTTTTTCTTTGAAGATGTTTCACTTCTCATCCAAGAACTGAAGAAGCTTCTTGGATGAGAAGCGAAACGTCTTCAAAATAAAACCAGGAAGTCCAGTTGCTTCTTGGGAAAGCACCTTTGGGACAGCCATGACCTGGATGATTGAGAATCTCCACAGACATTAAGAAGACTTAATGACTGAAATCAGTGTACTTTGGATAATAGACATTGCAGTAATAGTCCATCAAAGTAGAAACTATCTTGGATCAAATTACATTGAAGGTATCCCCAGAATTCTTTCAAGTGACCTCCATTTGTTGATTTAGATGAGATACAGTTCTTTGAACACTTGATGTGATCGAGTTAAACTTAATAAAACTAAGATTCCTACTCTGTGTTCTTGGGAGCAGTCAGCTCCCATTAATTAAACACCTGCTAAATTCCATAACCAAATAAAAATAATATTCATCTATTGTCAAAGTCATGTACTATATTTTGAGGACAGCAGTTCATTAGCCAATTACAGGCTATTTTCCATACAGTTTTTTTTCTTGTAATGTTTTATTAATGTTTTCATTTCCTGTTTTGACTCAACACCTTTTTCTACAGGAGCCTAATTTATGATGTCAGTTCTGCAGAATTTTAATAGAAATAGTATTCTTGATTAAATAATTCCTCCAGCTAGAAGTGTCCAACTAGACTGAAGTTCAGTCATTCCAGGTAAAGACTGGAAACATGACTAGATGAACTAAGTCTACTTCGCTGTAAGGCTACATTAACAGAATCCTTCAAATCTGAAAGTACAAAGTTCCCACCCACCACTTTTAACTGCTAGACCCATTAGGTCCTTCCTAAATTTCTTTCTTTGATTATTAAACAATTGCAGGCTCCTGCCTCTTTGTCTGATGGTTTCCTAGGCAGCATCTCTTCTTCCCTTTCCTCAAGGTTATCCATGCATTCCATTACCTTGAAGGTATTTATATACCTCTCACCCTACTTCTTTTCCTTCCCTTTTTCATCTTTGAGCTTTTATAAGAAAAAATCCTTCCTTTCCCCTTGCCTCTGGTATACAATTGTTATTTTTTATAAAGCAACAGGAGCAAAATTTCCTGTTCTGCTATTGTGGGAATAACATCATACAACATAGCTTTTTGTAATTCTGAACAAAATAAAAATGGATAGGCTTCTTCGGGAAATAAAACAGCTCTTTTTACACCCTTTTTCCTATTTGAGGTAGCTTTACTTAGCTTCATACAAGCCATTTATATACATTCTTAGTGCTGGCCAAGATCCCGCACTTCCCAAATTTGAAGGGGAGAATTTTTTAACTAAGAAATATGAAAGGAATCAGGATGCAGGGTATTATTCCTTGCAAGCTGAGAACTTCCATTTTTGTAAAGAAACGAACAGCATTTGCAAAAAAAAAAAAGTACTATATCCTCATGGTCAAAGACTAATACATAAATTAAAATACATCATTATTTATTTCATATTTGGAAATGAAACACTATATGGCCAATTAAATAACTTTATGGAATATTCTATTTTAAATCCAGGATATTTTCCCCCTTAAGTAAACTGGCACTGTACTCTACTTAATCACAATAATCATTTGGAGATATTACAATAATCATTTGGAGTTCTGCAATTCTTTATATATATATCCTTTTTAAACAATATTTATAATCCTCCTCAAATCCCATAATCAGGACAATGAACAATATTTTTAAATATCGAAATACAGTCAAAATAATAAACTGAGATATCTAAGACAATTGCCAGAACAAAACCTTGCTGAATTTCAATTTAACTTGCTTCTACAGAGCATTTATAATTCTGATTCATAAGTTGGGAGCCACCACTGAAAAAGTCTGTCACTTGGTATATTCTTCATTAACCTCAGGGAATGTCGGGAACCCTCAAGAGGCCATCCACAAATGCCCACATAATCTTGGGGCCACCAATGAAAAAATGTGCTACCTGGTATACATTCTATAAATGTCAGAAAGAGCTGGAAAACCTCAACAGACCATCAACATACAAATTGATGAAATGTTTTATTATGTAGCTAATAATCAACATTTCAAATTAAATCAGGAAGCCTACCAGTAACCAATAAGGCTTCAAAATTTGTGTTATCTTACAAGGGTGGCATAAGGCCCATCAGCCCTTTTGGTGCTGAATGTTGTGCCTTTCAAGTTCAACTTTGAAAAATGTTCAAATAATTTTTGGTGAGGAAATTAGATTTAATTTACTGCAATAAGATTCATCATAGTGATTTTAAAAATTTACAAATAGTTTGAGGAGCTTACTTGATGAATCACAGAATATGTTACGGAATCTTCTTTCCCTGTATAAAGATACTGTGGTAGAGGAATAACTATAAGATGGAAGTCCAGATACCTGCAATAAAAATGTATATTAATTTGAAATAATATATAATTGTCCATTATTCATATGTGTAAATTGATTAGAAAAATGTACCAGTGATTAAGAAAGCTGTGATACAATATTATTTTGTTGCAAATTAAAATATTGCAGTATAGTAAAATGCAGAAGCTTAAGTCCTCAAAAATAAGCTTTATTGAACCTTTACAGAACATATTTACTATAGTTGCACAATCATGGTGACATCTATGTCACTGTAGTTATTTCTTCACGCTTGTCCCCTTCTGCATTAGAATCTGTTTGATACCACTCACTTAATTTCAATTTTTTTTAAAAAAATCAAAAATTGGGGGTTTTGTAGGTTTATTTTTTTTAGTAATAGGAATCCTTCTTGCATCCCCTAGTCCAGTGATGGCTAAATTTTTTGTTGTCAAGTACCGAAAACGCTACACCGTGTGCTACAGTGCACGCATGTGCCCATAATGCAATGAGTGCATGAGCCCCCCGCATGTGCCCTGCCCCCATGTATGCACACCCCAACCCCCCCCTCCCCCCCCCCCC